AACATGCAGCCATCAATACTTTCCCATTCTCTTCATCACTTAATTGTGTCCCTATGGATACCATATGGTGCAGAGCATCAGCTGGGTCAGTAGCATACATATGACTCCAATGCCAACGCTTCTATCCCCATATTTCCTATCAGCTGATTTACAATGGTGTAACCCTGTCGTACTCTGGCATTATCAAACCTGTCAGTTCTTACTATGACTGCTACTGGCATCGGGTTCTCATTGAGAGGGGAATTACTTTCCCAAATGGGGGTAGTAGGTAATGGTGGGAAATTTATTAATTGATTATAAGATGGAGGTCCCTTAGCCTCCTGGTAATTAGCGCCTCATAATTTAGCACATCTCAATCCATGTCACAATCACCCTCCTCGCCATATTTAGAATCATAGAATTATACAGCACAGAAGGAGGCCATTTGGCCCATAGTGCCTGTGCCAGCTCTTTGAAAGAGCTGTCCAAATTAATCCCATTCCCCTGCACTCTCCCCATAACCCTGCAAATTTGTCCTCCCCAAATATCCATCCACTTCTCTCTTGAAAGTTGTTATCGAATCTGCTTCCACCATCCTTTCAGTCAGTGCATTGCAGATCGCAACAACTCTGTAAAAAAAATTCTCCTCATCTCCCCTCTGGTTCTTTTGCCAACTATCTTAAATCTGTGTCCTCTGGTTACTGATCCACCCACCAGTGGAAATAGTTTCTCCTTGTTCACTCTATCAAATCCCCTCATCATTTTGAACACCTCTATTAAATCTTTCCTTAACCTTCTCTGCTCCTAGGAGAATAATCCTAGTTTCTCTAGACTCTCCCCATAACTGAAGTCCCTCATTCCTGGGACCTCCTGGTAAATCTCATTTGGCCTCTCCAAGGCCTTGACATCCTTCCTAAAGAGTAGTGTCCAGAACTGAACACAGTACTCCAGCTGAGGGCTAACCAGTGTTTTATAAAGACTCATCATAATCTCCTTTTGTATTCTATGCCCCTATTTATAAAGCCAAGGATATGCTTTTTTAACAGCGTTATATAGTCAATTCACTTTACAGTGTGTTCTGTGAAGCGCTTTGGGACATCCTCCCGATGTGAAAAGCGCTATATCAAATGCAAGGATTATTATTATTATTATTATTATTATCTACCTATGCTACTACCTTCAAAGATTTGCTTATATGAAACCCCCAGGTCTTTGTGTTCCTTCACCCCCTTTAAGATTATACCATCAGCTTATATTTCCTCTCCTTATTCTTCCACCCAAAATGCATCACTTCACATTTCTCTGCATTAGATTTCATCTGCCGCGTGTCTGCCCACGTTACCAGTCTGTCTAAGTCTTTGTGCAGTCTGCTACTATCCTCCTCACCGTTTACTACTTTTCCGAGCTTAGTATCATCTGCAAACTTGGAAATTGTGCTCCCTATACCCAGGTCATTAAAATAGATTAAAAGGCGCAGTGGTCCTAATACCGACCCCTGGGGGACACTGTATACTTCCCTCCAGTCAGGAAAGCAACCATTCACCATTACCTCTGCTTTCTGTCTCCCAGCCAATTTTGTATCCATTGCTGCCTTTGTCTCTTTAATATCATGGGCTTCAATTTTACTAACAAAAGCCTTTTGAAAACCCATATATACTACATCAACTGCATTATCTTCATCCACTCTCTCCATTACTTCATCAAAAAACTCTATCTGGTTTGTCAGGCATGATTTGGCTTTGACAAATCTGTATTGGCTATCCTTTATTAACCCATATTTTTCTAAGTGAAAATTAATTTTGTCTCAGATTATCATCTCCAGAAGTTTCCTCACCACTGACATGTAGTTCCCGGGTTTATCTTTCTCCCCCTTTTTGTAGAGGGGAGTAACATTTCCTTTTGTCCTCTCAGGCCACATGAGGATTGAAAGAGCCTCTGCTATTTCCACCCTTACTTCCCTCAGTAACCTCGGATGCATCCTGTTCGGACCGGATGACTTATACTTCCTTGAGCACCGTCAGCCTTTTGAGTACCTCCTCTCTGTTTATTTTTATCTTATCCAATTTCTCTACCCTTTCCTCCGATGCTATGGCATTGGCTGCATCTTCTTCTTTTGTGAAGACAGATGCAAGGTACTCATTCAGTACGTCAGCCATGCCCTTTTTTGGTCCCGATTCAGCCCCGCCCTTACTTTTATTCTTTATATGCTTTTAAAATACTTTAGGGATCCCGTTTATGTTACCCGCTAATCTTTTCACATACAATCTCTTTTCCCCTCATTTCCTTTTTTTTAGCTCTCCTCTGTACTTTCTATATTCTGTTTGATTACCTTCTGTATTTTGGACCTGACATTTATCATAAGCCTCCTTTTTCTGTTTCATTTTAATCCCAATTTCTTTAGTCATCCAGGGAGTTTTGGATGTACTACCTTCCTATTCGTGGGAATGTATTTGTTCTGTCTCCGACCTATCTCCCCCTTGAAGGTTTCCCATTGCTTGTTTACTATTCTACCAACTGATCTTTTTTTCCAGTCCAACATGGCCAACAAACTTCTTAGCTATTCTCAGGGCTCGATCGGTACAACTTGTTGTAATAATCGGTTCTTGTTGTAATAATATCTGACACTGCATATGATGTTCCAGATTTGAAGGTGGTTTTGGGTGTCACTTAATCTCCCTTTTAGTCTTTTCTGTGGAGTCCTGTAGCTCAGTGGTTAGAGCACTCGCTTTGCAAGTAAGAGCCCTGAGTTCAATTCCAGGCAGGGCGAAACTTTGGGCAAGTTTCCTTACTCCACACGCCTAATAATAATCCCTCCAAAACAAAACAATACTAAGTTGGTCATTTTCAATCCACGACTGTCTGTGGGACATTGCTGTGCGCAATTGGCTGCTGCGTTTCGCCTACAAATATACAGTCAATTCATTTTACAGCATATTCTGTGAAGCGCTTTGAGACGTCGAGAAGACGTGAAAAGCGCTATATCAAATGCAACAACAACAACAAGATTCCATTTATTGAGCACCGTTCATGTCGGGAGGACGTCCCAAGGCGCTGTACAGTTGGGTCAGGACCCCAGCAAGGGGGAAATGGTCAGGGTGAGGGGAGGGAAGGGAGGGCGTGAGGAGGGGGTAGAGAGTCGAGAAGAGCTGAAGGCACGGTCAAAGAGAAAGGATTAATATTATTGTATTATCATTAGTACAGTAGAATCAATTTTGCTCCATCCCACTGCGAAGATGTGTTGACACTCTACGTTGCCTCCGATCCTTCCAAAGTTACATCTCTCTTTTAAGTGTTTTTTTTTAACTCCGCCTTCTCTTCCATGTATTGATTCACAAGTTTTTGTCCTCAGTTTTTTCTCTGAGAATGGAGCCCATCCCTCCTCAAGCTGCCAGTAGACTTGAGCTGTTTTTCAGAGAGAGAGCGATGGACAACTTTAGGGAGGCTTCTGCAGCCTGCGCGTTTCTCAGCCTTGAAATACCCACATGTCTGAGGAATGCCTCATCTTTCTGAGCCCCTTTGTTTCCACATCTGTACTCAAGGACGTGATTATTCAAATCTCAGAGGAGGGAACATCTTCTCAGGAACCTAAAGATGGAAAATATCAGAAGCTGAAATCAACCTGGTCCAGCAAAGATATATTTAACCCCAGCTAAACTAGTCTTTAAATCAAACAACCTTATTAAAGGATTATGGGTAGGTTACATTCTAAAAGTATACAAAGATTAATTAAAAGCCTTAAAAAACATTAAGCATCACAAATGTAATCTTACAGTGGACACTGTCATAAAGAATGCAAGTACAAAAATAGGTAAGTAATGTAAAACTTGGTTAGACCACATTTGGAGTACAGGGTGCAGATCTACATTGTTTGTCTGTCTATTCTGCTGTTCTTGGCCTGAGTTGGTGTACCCACCCTCACTTACACTGGTCTTATATTTCAGCTTATGTAAGGTGTTTGAGCGGCTGTGACAATGGTAGCTGGAGATGACACACTGATGACAGCTTTTATTTTTGCAGAACCCCAAACTGTCACCCATCACAAGCGACAAATCTCTCATTCAGTGATTGTTTTGGTGTATGTTACTTTTAAAAACAAGCACATAGTTTAATATGATTAAATGGATTTACTCTGTAGCACATTTATTGATTATTATACCACTCCTGACATTTACGGTGGGGGCTCAAGGCAGATTATGTTAAGGTTAAATTTACGTTGAATTTGACTGTGATTCCTCTTAAATTAAGGTTAGAATAGTTTGTATTAGGTTAAGAGACTAAGGCTAGATTAAATGTCAGAGACTAGGATTAGGTTAAGGATTAGAAACCTGGATTAAGTTAAAATCAAAGGCTTGGATTAGGGTGAAACTGTAGGCACGATTCCTACCGCACACACTCCTTATCGAGCAGTGAGAAGGAACCCAATTGTTTGTGGATTGTCCGATTGCTTTCTGGGAGTTAACAATCCCTTAAAAAAATTGGTCACTCAATTGGTGATGGTCTGTAGGACACTCCTGTGTAGGTTTCTGCTGTGTTTTGCCTAAAAATGTCAATTCACTTTACAGTATGTTCTGTGAAGCCATTGGGATGTCTGAACGATGTGATGAGGCACTATATCAAATGTGAGGATTATTATTATAATAATAATAATCCTTGCATTTGATATAGCGCTTTTCACGTCGGGAGGACGTCCCAAAGCGCTTCACAGAATAGACTGTAAAGTGAATTGACTGTATATTTGTGGGCGAACGCGGCAGACAATTGCGCACAGCAATGTCCCACAAACAGTCTTAGATTGAAAATGACCAATTTATTATTGTTTTTGTTTTGGAGGGATTATTATTAGGCTCTGTGTGGAGTAAGGAAACTTGCCCAAGGTTTCGCCCTCTGCCTGGAATTGAACTCAGGTCTCTCACTTGCAAAGCGAGTGCTCTAACCACTGAGCTACAGGACTCCACGGAGTTTAAATGACGAGTTGAGGTGAGATTTAAATGACTAAATTGGTGGAGTATTTGGATGTTGTGCGATGAGGAGCGTTTGGTTTGGGGGGAGTTTATTTTCTGGTCTGGACGGGAATGTTTGAGTGGAGGGTCAGAGCGGAGCTGCGGGAGGAGGAGGGGCTGAACGGTGTATTTTGCGTTTGTAGCGCCGACCCCGTGCGGGTGCGGTGCGGGTGCGGTGGATCACAGGATCGCTGCTGCATCGGGTCCACGAGGCCACAGATTACTTCTGCACCGGAAGTGTTTTATGGGGAATTATTGCAACACTTTTTTTTGATCAGAAAGAGAGGATTTACAGAGATCTGATCCGGAGCGCGAGGACCGCAGTCACCGCCGCAGCGCAGGTAAGTGGCGCTCAGCACCGCTCCCACTGCGGGACCCGCATTCCGCTCACATTCTCACACCCAACAAAACGGTTACATCTCGTGTGCACTTCCTCGGAGCAAATATACAGCCAACAGCGGACTGGGCTGCGTACACACAGCAGCGGACTGGGCTGCGTACACACAGCAGCGGACTGGGCTGCGTACACACAGCAGCGGACTGGGCTGCGTACACACAGCAGTGTTTGTGTGAGAGAGAGAGGTATATGCAATGACTTTATGTAATTTGTCACCGTCTCTATCAGATGTTTACTGATCTTTGTCCAAATCAGTTTCACCCTTGAAATCGCCTACGATCGTCACCCTCTTCCCTCCCATTGGCACCAGAGGGCGGGAGGGAGGGGAGGGGCGGGGGCCAGGGGCGGGGGGGCAGGAGGCGGGGGCGGGGGGAGGCGCGGGAGGCGGGGGGGGGGGCGGGAGGCGGGGGGCGGTGGGGAGGCAGGAGGCGGGGGGGGGGAGGCGGGGGGGAGGCGGGGGGGGGGGGCAGGAGGCGGGGGGGGGGGCAGGAGGCGGGAGGGGGGAGGCGGGGGGGGGGGGTCGGGGTGGGGGGGTCGGGTTGGTGGGGGGGAGGCAGGGGTCGGGGTGGGGGGGTCGGGTTGGTGGGGGGGAGCAGGGCGGGGTGGGGGGGTCGGGTTGGTGGGGGGGAGGCAGGGGGCGGGTGGGGGGGGTCGGGTTGGTGGGGGGGAGGCAGGGGGCGGGGTGGGGGGGGTCGGGGTGGGGGGGGTAGTTTGCCGGCACCCGCTCCCTGTCTCTAACATGTACACTCTGCGGTTGGGTTGGATTTGTTGCGGATCGGGAGCAGTGAGCGGCTGAGACGTATTTGAGTGATTTCACGTCGAAATTAACCGAAGGAAATGCGCACTGGAGCAGAGCAGAGAGACCGCGGTACTGACTCAATTACAAATTATAGTACTGATTTCCCAAATCCCGGCTCTGTTTCTCCTGTTATCCCGCAGTCTGGCATTGGTGTGTTATGTGAAAGACTCTTTCTGAACACCTTCTGCCCTGTCTTACTGCACCCAAGCAGTTCCTGCACTTGGTTTTGTAAGATCCCACAGTTAAGGAACATCGTGGTGGCTCATTGTGCTGTTATTTTACACCACACATAACCAGGTGACATGGCCAAAGGCCACTCACTGAAAGACTGAAAGTGGGTGTGTGGACTTTTCCTACCAACCAGTGACACGAGTCCACACCTTCGTCCCTTCCTGGCTGGACTATTCCAGTGCCCTCCTGACTGGTCTTCCCAGCTCCACCATACACAAAATTCAATTAATCCCAAACTCCGCCACCCGGATACTCACCTGCACAAAACTCTCACCACACCAGTGCTTGCCAGGCTCAACTGGCTCCCAATTACTGAACAGATCAATTTCAAGATTCTCTCTCCCATTTTCAAATTCCTTCATGCCCTCGCACCTCCTTACCTATCCCATCAATTTACCCCCCACTCCACCACCCGCTGCCTCTGCTTGCCTGTTTCCGGCCTCCTGTTTGTCCCTTGTCCCCTCCGTTCCACCATCGGTGGCCATGCCTTCAGGCACTACGCCCCAAATCTCAGGAGCTCTCTCAATCCCTCTGCCTAATCCCCTCGCTTCCCACTTTTAAATCCCACCTAAAGATCTTTTTGATTGTGCTTACGGTCACCTCCCCCCTCCCTCTCCCCTTGGCTCGGTATCTGGGACGCTACCCCATGTGAAAGGAGCTGTATAAATGCAAGTTGTTGTTTCAGAAACGATGCCTGCACGTGGACAAGTCTGTCAGGCTGTACTGTATTGTAAAACATTGCCAGCCTTGTTCAGATCCTTTCTAAGATGAGGGCTGGGGGGGTAGGGAGCGTTAGTAGAGAAGAATAGAGATTTGGAATATGGGCATAGGGAAGAGATCTAGAATGGGAGGAGAATTTTAGAGAAGGAGAAGACATGGAATCACTGCTTACAATTATATTGCAACATGGTACATCGACTCATGCCTGAACCCACCTGGTTCAGGTGGTTTTGCAGGTGGATCTGAACCGCAGGTCAATGGATATGCACATTGCAATCGTGAACCATTTCTAATAATTATAATAACCTGAATGAGAATGAATGAAAATTAAATTGGAGGAATATAGAACTGGAATAACATTGCAGAGTAAAGGCTATTTGATCGAGCTCCAGGGTACCACTTGTTTAAAAAGAATCAAACTACTTATAGACTAGCTCTGTGGTAAGACTATCAATGTGTTAGCAACACAGATTAACTACAACAATTTGTATTTATATAGCGCTCCTCATGCAGAGCTCCACTGCTGTCAAGCGGTCTGGGAGCAAGTGATACCCTGGAGGTCTATCAGATGGCCTTTACTAGATTAAGGATTATATCCTTTCTAGTCATTGGTCTTTGAAGTAAATTCCACTTCACCTTATGCACAAAACAATAAAGGTGAATGCATTCATTTTCAAATTTTCATAAGCAGCAAATAACTCAAGACAAGTGAAATGTAGCATTGATCGTAATTGCTTGATACTAATTGAGTTTCACTATATTCAAATTAAAGTCTGTTTCCCAGTATTTGCTTCATTGATTAAGCTAATTATACAGTGCATTATGCTGATGAATAGATAGAATGGGACAGAAGCACACATAACAAATGTCATTGGATTTTCAGTTGAGAAACTTGATGCCAGCTAAGTGAAGCAGGTGATTACATGATACCAGTAGCGTGAACACTATATAACTCACTGGCCAAATACTGTGTAATTTTCCTGTAGAGGTTTCAGCTAACAAACAGTACCCATGCCAGCCATAATATGGACCACACACTTGAGTGGAGAACAGAAGTTGCTGAGAATCAGATGACCAAATTTGGAGCTAACATTGTACTACTATTGTTAGCTTTTTAAAAATCAAAAACAGAAGAGGGATATAGTTTTAATAATAATAATCTTTGCATTTGATATAGCACCTTATCACGTCATTGAGCCGTCTCAAAATGCTTCCCAAAATATATTATAAAGTGACTGTGAATTTTGTGGGCGAAATCAGTATGTTTACATAATAATAATAATGCCTGTATTTGATAGAGCTCCTTATCACTTCAAAACGCACATCACAGAGATTTGTGTAAAGCGTGGTGACCTGTATATTTGTATGCAAATGCGTTATAGACAATTAGTGTACAAAGTACATCAATATCCCACAAACAGCCAAGAAGTGAATGACCATTTTTTTTGAATGTGGGGGATTGTTGGCCTATACACTGGAAGAAATCAACTCCCTTCTCTTCAGGTAGTGTGATTGGATTTTTAGCATCCATTTGAATAGGCAGATGGATCTCAGTTTAACGTTTCATCTGAAGAATAACGCCTCCAACATTGTGGCACTCCCCATCATACTAGTCCAAATTGTGAACTCAAAAGTCCCAACATTAACTTTGAACCCACAACCTTCTAACAAAGGCAAGAGTGCTACCAACGAAGCCATGCTGTCATTTATGCTGGAAATAAAAAGTAGAAGTGCTAATGCTGGAAATATGAAATTAAAACAGAAATACTGTAAATGTACATCTGGTTGACATTGCATTTGATAGTGACAAGTAAGTTGATATTTAGCATGTAATCCTTTACCAGAACTCAGTATTCTCATTAATACATTTTCCAATAATAATAATAATAATCCTTGTATTTCATATAGCGCTTTTCACGTCGGGAGGACGTCCCAAAGCGCTTCACAGAACACACTGTAAGGTGAATTGACTATATTTGTGGGCGAACGCGGCAGCCAATTGCACACAGCAATGTCCCACAAACAGTCGTAGATTGAAAATGACCGATTTATTATTGTTTTTGGTTTTGGAGGGATTATTATTAGGCTCTGTGTGGAGTAAGGAAACTTGCCCAAGGTTTCGCCCTCTGCCTGGAATTGAACTCAGGTCTCTCACTTGCAAAGCGAGTTCTCTAACCACTGAGCTACAGGACTCCGAGCAAAATGGATGTCTTTTTTGCATAATGTTTTGCTTGAAAAAGTTCAGCTGAGTGCACCGCCCCTCTTTGGCCATGTCATTGCACTGATGTTCACGTTGAAATTGGCTGTAACTTGATTCCCGTACTAAACTCAGCAAATTCATTTTGTGGCAGATTTAGTGAGATACATCCAAAAAAAAAGTCTTTACCTTGCTGAGGTGAATTTGCCACAGCAATTAATCATTGAGCCTATCTATATATCGTTGAGCTAATGGTCAATGCTATATTGATCATAATAATAATAATCCTTGCATTTGATATAGCACCTTATCACGACTTCGAGATGGCTCAAAGTGCTTTACAGAATATACTGTAACGTGAATTGACTGTCTTTTTTGTGAGCGAAACACGCAGCCAATTGTGCACAGCAGTGTCCTGCAAATAGTCGTGGATTAAGTGACCAAATTATTATTATTTTTTAAGGAATTATTACCCCCATAAAAGTGACTAATAACCGGATTCCTACCTACTGCTAGGTAAACAGAGGTTTATGGAGTAAGGAAACTTGCCCAACGTTTCGCCCTGCCGGGAATCAAACCCGAGGCTTCTCGCTTGCCAGGTGAGCGCTCTAACTACTAAGGCACAGGAGGAACTTGTACAGAGATAAAATCACCTGATGCTGAATTCTGTGATTTAAGTTTACTGAAATTGAGTACGGCACTAACATTTGTTGTAGGTAGGAATAATAAAAACGACACTGGTATAACTCATTAACATTGCCTCCAGACATTTTTGTCTACATCCTCTGTTGGCCCCAGAATGTGTTACACACAGCCTGCTAAAGAATCAGAAGTGGCACACATAAATAGCCAATATATGAAACGTTCCGCTGTCCAAGTGCTTCTTTTAAACCATAGATGTTAAACAGAGCTCGTATATTTTGTTTTCCTAGTCATAACTAATTGGGAGTGGGTGGGTGGGTGGTGGGGGGGGCAAAAGAACACATTTTGGACTTCA